GGCTTCAAAGCCCGGAAAACATTCCTAAATGTAAGATGATATGCATACGTACAAATGATGGCTTGCACTTTGGCTCTATCAAGGGCTGGTTTAACCGGGCGTTCCCCGTTTCCTGCTCGACTCCATCTCTGCCCTGTGACCGAGCAGGTGGCTAATTCCGCAGGGCTGAACAGTATGGTCGCTAATCCTCTGGTCAGTTTTCTATAGTCGCTCCATTTGATGCTCCGCAGTTGATCCTCATGGATTTCAATGCCGTCCCCAAGTTTCACCTTTTTAAATGAGTCTTCTTGCGACAAGGTCCAGTAGCGAGTCGCGATTGCTTACCAATTTCGCTCGTCTCTCAGGCTCTCTTTTCTCGAACAGTCTTGGAGAGATGTCGTAGAAGCTGGCGCCGCCGCTTCCTGATTGGTGCAAAGCATACGGCAACCAATTTTCGGACAGTTTTTTCCGCCTCAGTCTAAAACCTTAGAAATTAAAAGTGGTGAAATTACGCTTCGATCGGTAAAGTGTCTTTAATTGCTTCGCTTCCAATATACAACTGGGCATCTACTTTATACATCCATTAGGTAGGTAAAGCAAAATCTATTATATTGGACGTTTGGTGTATTTGGGCGCGCGTCATAAACCCTGATGGGCGCTCTGAAGGTGCCGCTTCAAATACAAAACGGTTTTGAACTGTTTCTTGCACAAGGCGCAACTGACATAGGTCGGATAGTGAATCAGTTTCATGTGTTGGCGCAAATTTGACAAATTACTATAAACCTTGCCGCATTCCTCGCAGGTCCGTGGATCCAACGAATGCAGTTTTCTGTTGTCCTTGCCTGCAACCAACAAGATATTATGTTAGACTGGTGTTCGTTGCAAGCAATACAACAATAAAAGTGCATTTCGTGCAGACAATTAACGTCCATTTGAAAGAAACCACCACTACTAACCTTGCGGGCTTAGATCGGATCCGATGTCTTTGCCATTAAAGGCTGAAGCCGGCGGTTTAACATCAATCGGCCCTAGAAGAATAAGGCTTGATGGGTGCGTTTAAGCCACAACGCCGCAAAATCACCTGTTAGATCCGCGTTTCCATTTCCAGAAGGAAATAAAATCATCGAATTATCGTCGTGTTCATTGTCATCATCGCTGTTGTATTCGGGAAGTTCAACTTTGGGCAGCAACTCCAAAGGGCTGCCGGCTTCGCTCTGCAGCGCAAATGGGTTCACTGTCATTGACTCTTCCTTCCTTAATCTACATTAATTAATTCATCAAGTTATTCTTTATTTGCATTAAACATTAATTTTACAGTGTTTTACTGTTACTTTGGAGTAGGTATTCAATACCAATTGTTATTTTGACCTTAAAGGTCGTTTAAATTCCGTTGGGCTTCATCAGTGCATACAAAACTGATAATGAAAGTGAGTTTAGATTCATTTTATTTAGTGTGATCGTCAGATGATTCATTTTTGTCATTAGAAGTTCATTCGCAACATCCTTAGAAGTTAAAGGTTTGAGAAGGTTTATTATGGCGCGTGCAGACCTAACAAGCCGAGCATGAGTTGCGGAAAATTTCTTTGATGTTTCGTCAAAACATCTACAGAAAATGGATTATTTGTCGGAAATATCAAGGGAACTTGGCCACAGCTCAGGCTCAGCTTGTTAGGTTTGGACGCGGCATAGCCAAGCCGATAAAGGTTTCACTTCCATTCTACAGAGCATTGGAAGTGCGAGAATTTTTGTCCAGTCGTTTTAAAGACACCCTGTATAAATATTTTAGTTGGCCAAAAATTGGTGACGGTTATTTGGAAATGGAAGTGAACTCAGAGGCACAGTAGGCCTGGGTAACACTGTGTTGAGTTGCGCTATTGCGCTGTTGCCGCACTCTGAGTTAACGAGTTATCACTCATCGGTTAATGAGTTATAAGTCATTTATTAAAGCTTTACTGGAAAACTGGAATTTTCACATCTAAAAAAAGGCATCAACATTTTTTCTGAGTAATGTTTTACTACTTTGTTGAAACAACTAAAAAAAAGTCACCTAGATTTTTCCAGCAACAGAACTGAGAGTTTCCTTGTAACATCGATTTCTTAATTTTCTTGCATAAAAGATTCAGTTTTCCAGTATTTCACATTGAAACGTTAGAAAAAACGCGGTTTTTCTGTTTAGAGACAGTGTTGTTTAGAAATATTGACCTAAAAGTGAGGAAACCGCAGTTTCCAAGCGTTTTTCAAATAAATGATTAGAAACTTTCGCTTTTTCAGTTCGGGGAAGTATTTTGGGAAAAAGAGAAAAATAAATAATTATTAGGGTTTTGTCCATAATTCGAAGCTGCAAAAATATTTCCAAAAATGTTTGCAAGGCGGTTAAGGAGGCGAGTGTTCCAATTAAATTTATTTCATAATTTTTCACAGAAAATACCCGAATATTTTCAGTATTTTAAGTAAAACTAAAAAATAATTCGAACTTTGTTAAAACTGTAATGACCTGAAAATTTAAAGGAACTTTAAAAATCTTCAGAGCAATAAGCGATGGGCGGCAAATTTTCCAAATAACTTTTTAAAAGCTCTCTGCTCTGGTCGTTTTCGGTTTTGGAGAAAACCTTAATTTTTTTTTACGGGGAAAAACGGGAGACACTTATTTTGGTTTTTGTCCCGAATTCGACGCTGAAAAAGTTTTTGTAAATTTTAACAAAGCTGTAAATGTATCTTGTAATTTTTCGGGCAAAAGACCTCCAGATCGTAAGTATTTTTAAGTGAAACTCTACAAAATCGAGAGGTTTTTAGTAGAAAGTAAAGGAAAAAAATCGGTCAAAACTGAAAAACCACATTTTTTTAACACTCTCCAGCCTTCAGAGGTATGGAGGTGACGAGATTTCTAAGATTTCTGTTCGTTTTTTGATAGAAAATTATTTGATTTTTGTTCCGAATTCGAAGCTGGAAAGGGATTTCAAAATTTTTTACAAAGCGGCGAAGGATTAGTAATTTGTTTCATAATTTTTTGCGGAAAATACCTGAAGATTGTCAGCATTTTTGAGTGAAACTTTTTCAGAAGATTAACTTAGTTTAGAATATTTTAGAATTAAGAAGAAACTTAGAAGAAAGATTAACTTGGCTAAAACTGGAAAATTCTGAAATTTTGAAAACATTCTTAATGGCCCTTAAAATAAATTGAAAAACAAGTAAAAAAAGTAATCAACATTCTCCCAGCAACGAAACTGAGTTACTGCGCCGGTGCTTTGGGTTGGCGTCAAGCCATTTGCGTAGCACTGCGCCAACTCCTAAAAATTCACTGCAAGATCAGGAACTACAAAGAAACTGCACATTTTTCTGCAAAAGAACAAAAAAACTAGGAAGTTGTTAAAATTAAAGTCTCCTCAGCATGTTTCAAAGAAGCATTGCGGTCAAACTATTCCATGCGAAAAATCGTCCAAACAAGGCTTTTATTAGTTACAAAATGATATAACAAGCATTCGCCAAGCGATAAACACCAACAAATCAAAGCACTAAAACAGCTACGAATGAAACGTGCCTAATTTCAGTCTCTGGTTTGCTCCTTTTCGTCGCAGGGCTTGCGATATTTGGCGTGGTTCCATCAATATTTATTGGAACATCCTGACTAGAAGTTGTAATGCCTGCGGCACTGACTTGGGAGTTCTTTGCTTTGGTTTTATTGACTAGAATGCTATTTCTGCAACATCAAAACACAGATATCATTCACATTCAGTTGCTGTGTAAAATTCAATCACCTAAATGCCCTTAATGGTTGCGGTTTCATGTACAAACCGCTGTCTTCCGGTTGATGGTCCGCATCAGAAGAAGTGTCCGTGAGTCCTCGAATTTTGAGAGACTCTGCAGTTTTGAGGAAAGCGGAAAGATGAGCCTGCGATACGTTTACTTCGCCCACATACATAAATTCCATTAGTGCGATTATGTGGCGAGCCTCCACATCTCGCATAAAGACTATCGGATGTGAGCAAGGGTTGGTCTATAAACATTAGACCATTAGACATCAGGCCTGAGCTTTGGATGTAGTAGATTAAGTATACCTTAAAGAGTTCCTTGAAGTATGGACTGCATGCCGAAAGGACCACTTTATGTGCAAGCAATCTCTGTCCTTCGCATGCAATTGTTACGTCGGTGAAATCTTCATTGCACCTCAGAATATCGAACTGAGAAGTGATGTTGGCTTGAAAGTTGTTCCATCTTAAGCAAAAGTGTTGGTCGTTTGGGGGATCATCTAATTCGGCCATTTCTCTAATTTATCCCCAGTAACATCTTTACAGAGTGAAAATCAATTAATCTAACTGAGCCCAATGGGGTAAAACATGCGGCTTGTGAAGTACATAGAAATTTACTAAAAGAGCGTTGCTTGGCGCTCATTCGCATTGAGATTGGAGCTGTTTTAGGCAAAGCCCTGTTATTTTAGAAGCAAAATTGCAAAGGGCAGGCTAGCTTGATGCACATTACTTGCCTCTGGCTCCTTTAAATTGACGGGGGTGTTTGAAATATGTGGACTTTTTATGCAAGTTTATTCTATGTTTTACATATTCGATATTTTAACATTTTCCTTCACTTATCTGTCAGAAGTCGATATGTCTGAAATTTTGTCCTCAAACAGTATAACCCCATAAAGCAGTGCCGTGTGCCCTTTGTCAGCGTAGCAAATTGCAGTAAAACCCCCTAAATCTACATAGCAAATGAACCGCATTGAGGCTGGAGGTGTATCTGAATTCAACAATCAAATTTAATGATTTTTTAGCTAAAAAAGCCACGCAAATCGGACTTAAAGGTTGCTAGTTCCCTTCGGACGTTAATGAGTTTGACATATGTGAAATTTCAAATAAAATGTCAGAATCTGGCCGATAGATTCTCTTGGTGTGGTTCCCAGTTTTCCTCAGTGAAAATCGCCTGCAGTTTCCCAATTTAAGTTCATTTTAATACCGCAAATGTTTACTACACAGTGACACTCGGAGGTTGCAATTAACAGTGGGATTTCGTGTGAAATTACATGACATTCACAGACTATTGATTTTTTCGTATTCGTTTTATTTTTGTTGAATTATTTCCTAATTTACTGGCTTCTGAAATATGAAATGTATAAAAGTAAGTGAAACACGTAACAATTTATTACTTTTCATTCGTTTAGTATACAGGTTATGAGTCATTTGGCACATTACATATTTGCATGCTGGCTTAATGCATGGCCTTCAATAACACTTATTTAACATTTATATCTCTGCTAAACTGCTCCATACTAGATGTAAATGAGTGCTTCATTCATCAGTTTACTTTATTTGACGCAAAACTGGGAAGTTTTAAAACCAAGGGATCAAGTGCAGTAAATGCACGTTTAGGCTGTATTAGCCTCTCAGGCCCCATTTTTAAACCAAATTGAAGATTCACATTGATTCATAGCTTCTATAGGTGGTATCCAGAATATACCGGTGTTACGGCAGCAATCTTCTAGGTAATTATCTAGTATATCAGACTCTCGGATTCGACATTAAAATTATGCTCGCCGTATAGATAATCCCTTGAGTAACAACTTTTCTTAGTGGAGTTTTTTTGTGTACGCGGTTTTTGACCCCTTCACTGATCAAAATTCAATAGTTTTTTATAAGACAAGGGTCGCTATCTTAGTTTGCACGCCTGACATCTTCCATCATGCTGATGCTGCACAGGCAAAAATCAACACTTCATAATATGTTTACAACTTCGTAGAATAGCTGCTTAACATTATTTAAAGACAAAACAGCCGTTAACGAATATGAAGAAAAACGCAGAAAGATCAAGCAAAACTACACAAAACTACCCCAAATATCTGCAAAAAGTGTCTAAAGAAAAATAATTACAAACAACTTTTTGGCATTATTTGTTATTTGGTTGGCCACCAACTTGGTTCAGAGATGCTCTATACTAACTGCGAATATTAATACTTAATATGGGCACATAAATGCAAAGGTCTGATAAACCAGAAATAGCCCTAAAAAAATTGTTAGTAACTGGATTTTCGTTTATTTTCAAGTTCATCAGGCTCTCGCATTCACCATGAGAGAGACAATCTCGATAACAGTTTTCTTCGTGTTATTTCTTGTGAAAATGCGGTTTTCGATCAGATTTCACTCTTCACTTCTTTTCTATAAAAGACGCCTTTGCCTCCTTGTGGCAAGAGATTTCAACCCTCAAGGAAATTCTATTTACAAAATTTCCTTCTACTTTATTTTTTAAGATCTTTGTCATGCTCTTTCGGAATCAACCTGGGGGCCAGTCGGATGTCCGGATTTATCACCTATTTACTGTATCGTGATTGGGGCTCATTAGGTATACATATAGGGACTGCATTAAAATGTATTTCTTGCTTTTATTATGCGCCCGCAGCAAAATTCCCTTTTGCGTTCCTGCATCTTGGATTTTTGCCACTTTCAATACGAAACGCCTTAGAAAACGGCAACACCTTTGATAAACAAATCGCAAAATCGTTGTCTCCTATTGGTCATCAGTATGCACCGATTTATCACCCATTGACTGTAATTGGGCTCGATTTCTCCAATCGCTTACAAACTGTTAGATAACAATCAAATCAAATCAAAAGGGTCTACCTTAAAATGTATGTTTTGCTTTACCTATACACCAATCGGACGGATTAAATACATTCTTTGGTGTATTTGGGAGGCGTTACGAGTGCAGGTTAAAATGGCGTGCTTTGTTATCATATGGAAAAGACGTGAAAAGTGGACGAAGTTCGTGTTTCTACAAGAAATATTACTAAGAAAAGTCGTTATTAAAGAGATTATCTTCTGTAAACTGATCAGAATTGCTGGAATATTTTGGAGTTAAATGCGATTTACTTAGGCTTAGTTGGTTTTCTATGTTTAAAGATAAGTAGGAAGGCAGTGATTCAAACATTTTATAATTTTATAGGCATGATTGAAGTGATTCTGATTCTGATTGAAGTTCTCGTGGTTCTCTTTGCGAGTTGATTTCAACGACTTTTCTCCTGTCTTTTAATTCTGATTTTACTATTTTACAATTAAGGCACTAAAAAACTACATAAGCAATAAACTGTTTATTTAGTTTTTGCATCGAAATCCTAAGTTTCAAAATCGTTTTTCTCAGATCATCCTCACGTCTTCGGATTATTTAGAGAAAAATTGATCACCAATTTGAGAAGAATCGCAGAATAAAATCGAATCGAAGAATAAAAGAGGGGCAGAAAAGTTGTTTTGAAACTTTGAAATCCTTTCCCTTGGCTTTAGTGATTCCTTCCTATATCGATGACCAACGACATGTTTCGTATTTCCCAACTTGTTCACTGAATTCACGTAGAAGCCGGAAATTATTTATAGTTATAAAAAAAACTGAAAATTTAGTCAAGGGGTGATAAAACATTGTTTTAAACTTAGGTACACAGGAAGTTATAAGCCCGTTCAAAACTTTTTCGCCGAGTCACCGAAAGCCGCTTATCTTCATAGTAAATATCTTTATAAATGCACCTAAAGAATGACTCCTTAAAATAAACGTGACTTAAAAAAATCGACTGAAGAACGCAACGGTTTCAGGCAAACGGTTGTTTTAAAGTATTCAATCACAACAATATGCCAATTACAGATTTGAACAAAAACATTAAGAGGCATTTTGAGCGGTCATGGTATTAATTTTTTTTTAATTGAGGAGTTTAGATCACACATAAAAATGTTCATTTGTGGCCAAAAAAATTGAAAAGTGGCTGCAGTTTTGACTTAACTTAAGTGAAAAGCGTGTAAACCGGACGAAATGTGGGTCAACTGCAAGCATTGAAAAAACTCCAAATTTTTCCTGCTTTTAGAATAAGGAAGATCGCACATCCATCTCCGGATGTGTTCTGTCTATTAGCCACAATTTTTCGGTTGCCATAGACTTTTTTGTGCAGTTTAATACTTTAAAACTGCAGCAATTAAGCACATCTCCGGAACCAATTTCAGAATAGATTCAAGAATTTCAATTGATAAATTATATTTTCCTCTAAATGTCTAGACTTATCTTTACTTACGTAGGTCATATAAATGACACCTTCGACACTGATGGATGAATTAGCGCTAAATTATTTCGCTAAATACGTATTTCTATTCTCATCGTTATGGTAATGAAAGATAAGAAGTTAATCAAGAAATAAGTACATTATTTACAACCGAAAGCCTGTTAGAATGTCGGTTTGGATTCTAATAACAATGACTTTTGGGCCGTTTTTGCCACACTGAAGCTTGTTTATTCATTAATTAATACTAATAAAACTACGCGATTCTTCGACACTCTCTAATGGCCGAAAACTGTGGTTCTTCGAATTTCACCTCCCCCATACACATTTTGGGCTAGCTTGCACCATTACATCACATTTGCACGTTGTCCTTCAGGTACCAAGAAGACAAAACACCAGCAGCTTGCTGGTTCACTTATTATTAAGCAAACCATGACTGTGAATAGAAGTTAGAGTTCTGTGAATTGTGCCTAGCTGGGGTTAGGAGGTTTTTTCTTGTAAGTTTTAGTTGAAAAACGTGTTCTTGACTGAAAGTTTTTGTTTTTTTGCCTGATTAACTTTACATAGGTTCAAAGAAGGACTTGGAGTCCGAGCTGAACCCTGTAACTCTTGTAGGGTTAGTTTGGGTTCGTTGGGTTTATTAGGAATTTTAGAGATTCTGCATTATAATTGTTGCTGATTTAATCAAAGCTATTTGTTTTGTTTACTTTGCTTTGATTATTACCAAATAAGCACGTAGTCCGTTGATATCGAGTTCAGGCTAATGATTTTATAAATGGCAAGGTAATTGAAAGCATAAATCGTTGATCCTACTAATTTGCGAAAAATTCATCTCAGCTACGTGATTCGTCGCACATCGCCCGGTATTTTAGCCAAATTCAGCGCATGTGAAGACGCTTAGTTTATGATAATGACCATGCAAGGAGGATTTCAATTTGATGATAATACTTTGCAATTTGCAATAGAATAAACTAGGACTTGTTTTGAAACCGCTCTGCTAATTTTTTTTATTTAAACAACCTGAGTCAACTTGGCGACTAGCATTTGCAGATTTTTTGGCAACACGTTTCCCGTCAAAGGTCGACTTCCTCTGCTTGATTACATAAAATTAATCAATCGAAAACAGAATCTCCTTCCCACATTTAGCTACGTAGGCCCTCTTTATCTGCACTTATTTGAACTGTGATAAATTGGAAATTATCTGATATCAGGTATTTTTGGTCATTGAACGATGTTTAGGTGGAAACTTGCCAAAGTGCTCGATCTAACGCGCGCTCCTCTCGTACAGTTCCCTCAAAATTTTCGAGTTTTTTGCGAAAAGCAAATTGCGATGTTGTGAATTGTGTGATTTTTCGTTTGAATACCTTAATAAATCATCGGGATTTGGTTTTCTGTGTAAGTGAACTTTTATGCTGCATCAATCGAATCTAATGAACATCCTGAGTTCATTGTTGAAAGCTTGCGAAAATGTTTGTTATTGCGCTAGTTTCTAAACAAGAAAATGAAGGAACGTGTTTTATATTTTTAGGTGCCAAAAGTCCAATTTTCTGAGTTTTTTTATTTATTGTCTCACCGCTTATTCAAAAACGCTTAATACAGTATAATTAGACAATGATATGAAGAAGTGGATTTTATTGTTTCTACGCAAAAGTGTGCCATATTTCAGCTTATAACTATAGGCACCTACAAGCTTTAGGTGTATGAAAACGAAGTTTTTTGAGGGTGCTGAAATTTGTAGAAAAATAAGCGGTTTTGTGAATCAGGGCGATTTGGTTGAAAATTTCCCTTCAATCTTTTGACTCATTTACAATTTAGATGATTTAATGCAATACTTTCGAGGAAAATGACTGTTCATCGAGGTGTTTACTTTTGCTACCTAATCATTCACAAGCATAATTCTTCAAGCAAGCTTCAAAAGCTTGTTCGTCGTGGGTTTCCAAGTATGTTTTAATTTTATTTGAGCGTTTTTGATCTTTTGCCCGCCGAGATATTCGATATTTAGATCGAGAAAATGACTGGTACAATTCATATACAAAGAAAGCATCTCTGCTACCGGAAATTTAATTAATTTTTTAATTTAATTCTTTCATGTTCTGCCATCCCAAGTAGAATTTTACGAAGAACCCAAACTAAAGATTTCGCAAGAAAAGCGCACAGAATGTTGACAAATTGAATTAAATTTCCTTATTTTAACCGAGTTTTAAATCATAATTACCAATTAATATTGCTAAAGATTAACAAAGTTTTCGAAGAGCTTGAAAAGCAGTGATTTACTTACGAAATTATGTTAGTTTGACTTTGCGTGTTCTTGGGCGCATTATTTGCTTATTATTAATCCTGTCCATATCTGTTGCCACTTGCTCACCAAAATCACTATTTCTCAACCCAACATTTTGTTCTTCAAGTCGCACCTAAGATTAGCCAATTTCTTCGCTTCGTCGTTGCTTGTTCTCCACTTGTGTCAAACTATTTTTTCATTGGGTTTCTACTGCATCTCGTTGTTATTTAATTATGGAATGTTTCGTTCTGATGCTTGGCTTCTTCAACCCCAATTCAATTCAAGCTCTATTTAGGTACTTTTTCTAATGCCATTTAATTAGATTGAATTTTGTGTTGATTTTAATGTGAATGTTTTTTTTCAGGTATAGTGAACGGTTTTTTTATCCAAACTGGCTGCCCAGGGTTCCAGTGGCGCCGAGTGCGCTGCGGCCTCTTCTAGCACACCTGGCAGGGTTGATCAAGCAACACTGACAGGTAAGTTCATTATTTTCATTTATTTCTCCAAATCTTTCGAATAAAAAAAAATGCCAAAAATCGCCGAGAAAACGTGCAACTACATGGCATGATAATTGGCGATTTTTGGCAATTTACCGGCTTCTAACAGCGAATTTTTGCATAAATTGGCGTGCACATACGTGTGGGTAGTCACATATTGTAAATTAATATTTGCGTCATTTTTCGTTTATCTAATCAGTTATTATAGCGCTCGTTTGGCTGGTTATTACTTGAGCCCCCTAACTTTATCCACTCGCGAATCTTCGCATTGTTGAATTTTTCCAAAACATTGAAAAATTAAATATTTTTTATTGTTGGTCTTTAATCGATGAAAATGTCCCTGATTCTATTTAAAGCAAAATATCGATCAAAAACACATTGGGGGTATAATTTAAGGTAGGACTATTCTATGTGGCAGTTAAATAATCGTCGGGCTATGTTTGGGATCGCAGGATTCTCTGCAAAGATTTCCTGGAAAAGTAGCAATGTTTTTACAAAATGGTTCAGTGTCATGTATTCTTTCATACGTAAAGTATGTGTTTTGAACCAATGGATTAACACTACCAGTAGGTAACTGTTTAAAATAGCACTTTTTAAGTATTGTATTGGTTGAAAAAGCGACGAGAAGTCGTGATTTTCGCGTGATTAAGCCGTCATCCATCGAAATAAATTTGGAATCCTTCTTCGCTTTGTAAGAAGTTTTGAAATTCCTTTCCAACTTGGAATTTGGAACAAAAATCAAATAATTTTCCATCAAAAACCAAACGGAATAAGCGAAAGTTTATAACAGATTATTTGGAAATCGTCACCTCCATACCTCTGAAGACTGTAGAGTTTGTTAAAAAAATGTGGCTTTTTAGTTTTGACTGATTTCTTTTTGCTTTACTTTCTACTCAAAAACGCACTATTTTATGCAAAATTAGATAAAAATAATAATTTTCTATTTTCACTTAAAAATACTAAAATTTTTCGCTTTATGAAAAAAATTACAAAAACTTTTTTCAGCGTTGGATTCGGGACAAAACCGAAATTAAATTCCCGTTTTTTTCGAAAACTGAAGGTTTTCTCCAAAAACCGATCCCAAAACTAAAAGTTTTTAATTAAACCATTATTTTCTGATGATTTTCTTCTTTCCGGACAATAATGGGGTCTTTTCAGCCAAAAACGACAAAGTTAATTTTTCTAGAAAATTCGCCTCGTTCATCGGTTTGTAGGGAACTTTAGAAAGCCTATTGCAGCTTCGAATTTGGCACCTATTCACAAAAACCGAATAATTTTATTCAATTATTCGCGTTATTTTTTAGTATTACTTAAAATTCTGACAATCTTCAGGTATTTTCTGTGAAAAATTATAAGATACTCGTTATCTCAGAGAGCGGTAACAACTCGATAGCGCAACTCAACACAGTGTTACCCAGGCCTACTCTGAAGATGTTAACCATGAGTGCTAGCGAAACGTCAGGACCAAATTCCTATCGATGACCAGCGAATAACGCCAAAATCATCAGTTTTAAACTGTGGATTTTAATCTGTGTAATAACAACAGTTTGTGAATGATTTTTACCGGAATATTAAAATGTCCGACTTCGAGTAATATGCAAAGCCTTTTGTCTCAGTCGAGACGTTCAAGAACCTGAAAATCTAATTTTAAGAAGGAGAAGTAAGCGAACAAAGCCAATGACATTGTTGGGAGTTATATGGAAGGTGCGGCCCGGCAGGAAACATCCAGTTTTGCTGTATTTTTTAATATTTTCAATTTTTAGTTGGCTACACATTTCGGTAAACAGCGAAAAGTTATTTTTCTAAATGGGCGACAGTCGAACCTGACCTCAAAATTCGCAATATTTATTACGGTTTAAAAAATAAATTGTGATAAGTTGGCCGTCTATTTTAGAGGATGATCCAGTCGAAACTGGGGCCCCATGTGATTGCAAAATATTGTCGATTTGCTGTTAAGGTCGATACACTTTAGTAAAATTTTAGAAGCTTGTCATTTGGTCAGGAAAACAATTGCAAATTGCAAATCCAGTATTGTTTGCAATGCTTGTTATCTTTTCCAAGTTGCTTGAAATCAGGTGTTTACTTAATTAATTATCTAATATTCCGTGCATTTACTGGTGATTATATTTTCTTTCGGCTAGTTCAAGCCTGAACATCTTCCCCATATGGGTGGCGTAAAACTAATTAGAATTCAAGTCGGCGAAAAATTCGCGGACCGTAGCTGGTTGATTTAATTGTCGGCTATTTAGAAAGTGAAGTCATCGCGCACTGTTAAAATCTAAAAAAAACTGTACTGTTGAGTGAGTTTAAGTGTGTTCAGGCTCAAAATGTTGATTTTGTGACAATATGCAGTGAAAAACCAACATGTGACGTTCAACGTGAATAGGATTTGATACGGAAACAACCGCCTCTCATTGTTTTTCAGAGGTAAAAGGCCGCATCTGATTGCCATACTTATCTATCCAAGTTGCACTTAATTCAGCTCCTTATCGTCTAATCATCAATTACTTCCGGGCGAATGCCGTGTATTGTTTATATTGTTTAATTTGGCGCATTCGCCGCAGTGGATTATGTAATAAGATTTTTTAAAAGTTGATGTTTCTTCAGCCATTAATCGTACCTGCCGAAAGTTGGCCGCTGTCCAAAAGTAGTCTCAGGAAATTCACAGTTTTCCAACTCGATAGTCAGTTTACTTTCGTCCATTCGGTGCCTTTCATTCATGTAATTTTCATTAAATCTTGCGATCTACGTTACGAATCTTTGGTTGGTCCAGATCCATTCGGTTTCATTCTTGGTTTGGCCAATCGTTGCCGGTTTCGATCGAAATTTGCTTGCAAAATCGCAAAACTCTGGCAAGACCGGTAAGAGGCAGTTGGCAGTGTCGTTAATTAGTGGGAAAACGGTTAATTGTTCACTGCAAACAGCAATTATAAGGTTTTTAATTAATTCGAGAGAAAGGAGGATTTTTCCAATCAAAGTACTGGTTGGATAGTGTTTGATTTGCCATCTGTATTTGAGGTTTTCTTATTTGCGTTTTTAATATTTCTTCAGTTCAGGGAAGCAGTAACTGTTGGTTTTTGTGCAATTACGCAACCTGCACTTGGGATTCTTTGAAATTTAGCTTAATTAATGTTACTAATCAAAGTACTGATTTATTGAACTTCAATAATTGAAATACATTTTTTTAATGTTTTTGAATCTGAAAGGAGTCACTTTTGTTTAGGATCCACATTAATGCTTTCTGTTGTTGCTTGCGTGAACTTTACAATTTACAATTTTACCTAGAACACTTCAATATGTTGCAACTTTAGCTGTAAAAAAATATAATTTAGTCCCCGGTTTTTGTCTCATTCATGTATTGATTAGAGCCATTTTAAATTACATCAAAAGATGCACTTTTGATGCTGAAATTTTGCGCAATTTCCTGAGGTAGTTTTTCATCCAGTTACGTAAGCAGCCAAAGTGAAAAAACTAAGCAGGTCAAGAGTTTAAGGTACTTTCTGGTGTATTAAACCGCATAGTGATGAAGAACTAAGATGACTGTTAGTGTTCGATTCGTAAAAGTGTTTCAACAGCATGCGACGACAGTTTTCGGGGAGGCCTAGAGTGCGGGCAGGACGTTCGGTTAACATCCGCGATTGGCAGAAACAAGGAGAAGTCCTCACCACTTGGAATAATGGTAAATTCCTCTCATTTCTACTGCTTTTGATCAGTTTAATGCAAACATCCAAACGCATAACAGTAAACTGCTATACCAGAAAAACTGGCACCATTACTAGATCGCATATCTTGCGGTCCAGTGTCAAGTTCTTTACTCGATACCGGTTAGATGAAGAGCCTTAATCATAGTTGATTGGGTTTCCACTACGCGGGGAATGTCAAGAATTCCTTCCTTCTTGCGTCGAGTTGAGTTCAGTGTCTAGAAGGTAAACAAACCGTCATCGAGAGTGGTAATGTAGCTGCTCCATTAGACAGCAATTGCTAACATAATGCCATAATTAGTGCTCAAAGTGGCTTCATCGGTGTTATTGTTGTGGTTTAAGCGTGCGGATGGTTTCAGCTAGGTAGGAGAATATTTTATAAATTCTTTGTCTATCGAGGATTTTGGGGGCATTTTTATTTAGCGTTTAGACGACACAAGAATCTAGACAATTTTTAAGTAATGCTTATGTTCAACTTTTGAGTGAGAGGGTTGCTTATGGGGATTAATTCACTAGTTTGTTATAGTTTTTGAAACTTTTAGCTCTTTTACTAAGTTTTCGTTTTGTGTTTTTATAATCTCCTTTGGCTGACATCACATTTTTTACCGACATAAATGCTTCGGTTTTGTGTCCAACATTTGATAGCTGTTTCGCGTTGTAAGTGAAGGAAAGTTGCTTATGAGCAATAGTTTTTCAGCTTTTACTGTTTGTTTCTTTATAATCTTGTGTGATTTAAATCACTTTTTATCAACACAGATGCTTGGGTTTTGTGCTCAATATTTAATGGTCTTTTTCCTTTATAAGTGAGAAGTTGGATATGGGAATTATTTCACTGTGAATTTCATGTGTAAATTTTGATACTTTTAGCAGTTGTGCGCTAAGTTGGCCGWTTATTTCTTTATCAGTTCATTTCACTTAAATCGCATTTTCTTCATCAACAGGTTGCGGTTTTGTACTCATATTTATTTGATAGGTTTTTCGYTTTATAGGCAAGAGGAAGTTGCACATGAGCTGCTCATTCACTTGCTTTGTTTTAATGTCYAGACTTTTAGCACTTTTACGAAGTTTTTCGTTTGATTCATTATAATCTTATTTGACTTASACCATATTTTCTTCACCTTCATAAATGCTTCGGTTTTGCGTTTSAGCGTATAAAGAAWTAAACGGAAAACTTGRWTTAATTCCCATACCAACTTCGCTYTYATRARAGACAAAAACCARTWRRTACTGAACGCAAAACCGAAGCATTWATGAAGGTSAAGAAWWTWYSGTYTAWKTCAAATAAGATTATACGMTSATTTGGCTTCATTTTGTTCATCAACATTCGATTCTGTTCTCAACGTTTGAAATATTTTCCTATTATAAGCGAGGGGAAGTTGCTTGCTGAAGTTTAAATCACATTTTCCTATGTTTGACCTGCAAATAGTACAAATTAATGAAATTAGTGGGAAAGGTATATTAAATGTACGAACGAGGTGGTGAATGATTCGCGTTATTTTGTGAAAAATTTCAAATATCTACATTTTCCGTCTTTAACGTCCAAAAAATCCTTCATGTGTGCGTTATATATTTCATACATTTCAAGTGAGCATATTGAGAGCCAAACCAAAACGTGACCGCCGATTATTAAGTTCCGTTAATATGAAAATTGCGCCTTGCTTATGTACTTTTTTCCTTAATGTAAATGTTACAGTGTAACGCTAGTTCCAAGCAACAGTCTTCGGGTGTGAGTTAAATATAGTTAAAGGATAATCCTAAGTTATGACATTTTGATTGGTTGAGGCTCACTTTTCCTCCTTCCTGACGCATAAATAGCTATTTCCCTTTCGAAATTTTCCTGCACCCGGCGGTCTCATTTTTCTCTTGAAGTTGAGCTGAACTTTGGTCCTAAAATCCCCAGAAAATGTTGCTTGTGTTTTTTCACTTGTGCATTGTTTTCAGCTGAAAATGTCGCGTTAAGCTCGTCAATTTTCCTTTGAAGTTTCCCATTCGAAAGCAATTTTAATCATTAAATTATCGTAATTACTTCCCGAAGAGTTTTACTTGCGCTGAATGGAATTGTATGCGTCAATAAAGATATTCACACAGCAACTTAAGTATGCAAAACACATTCAATCGAAGAATGTTTCCGATAATCGTAGAAGACAAACAGGACATTTCCATTCGGAAGGGAGCAAAAAAAAAATGAAAGTTCTTCCTATATCGGTCATTCTAATGAACTATAACGACCTGCGAGACCATAAATGTCGAAATCATGATAGTGCAACTTCACGAGCCGAACCGTAGCAAAGAACAGCACACGAAGTGAAGGTTGGGCCAAACGAAATTGACTAATAAAAAATTAATCACCGATGGATTTTTTGATTTCAACTTAATTATGTTCGAAAGTCGGACCATCCGACATTACAAGCATGTAGAGGAAGCGTTTTCTCGTTGCAGTGCCATTAATGGGCATGTTATTTAATTTCAGTTGTAAATAATTGCTCCTCAGGGGCCATAAAGGTCAAATTGAAATAAGGTTAGTAGTTTATATATTCATGTTTTCTCATGGCCATTGCACTTGTCTTCATTCGGAATGTGTTTTTAGTTGGAGGTTTTTTCAAATGAACGAAGCAATAATATTTGGTTCCAAAGGTAATTGCGGTCGGGCCACACACAACCCAAAGAGCTTCCGATGATGTCAATCGATAAATATACACTTGGTTTGGTGAGGTGCCAGTATGTTTTTCGCATTTGAACGCGCAAAAAACCCACTTGAGGCCATCAATTACATAAGTCGGCGAATTGATGAATTTCCACTGAAATTTTCCTCTTCCATTATCAAGCAACTAAAGGCTCTCTTCCTTTCTAATCCTTATCGATGATGATGAACCCGATAATCTCAAGTCCCTTTCATTCTGTCCAAAGTATTCGCCATGGGATATTAATATTTATCACTGTTAAACCACCGTTAATCTATGGAGAATGTTGGCTAGCCATGATATTAAGTTCACTATTCACTATCAGCATTTATCAACGAATTCTGCTTTCTAAAATGAAACTAGCGAGTTTTTTAAGACTTTTCGCAAGCACGGAGGGCTGGCTTCTTCAGAGGTGTGTTAGCTTTGGGTGCGAACATCAAACACTTTCTAATGTGCTTCTGGCGGCTGATTTTTGACCAAAAACTGATCGACAGATAACATTTTCCAGTGATTTTGCGTTCGAACCAGCACAACGCACAACTTTGACTCAGAAGATTAGATTGTTTTTACGTCCAATCCAATTTCTACATCAAACACTGTCTAATGCGTTTGTTGTGCATTATTGCTGATTCTTGGCGAAAGCTGAGTGATCGCGGAACATCTAAAATAACTTTTTTGCACGACGCTCTTAAAGCTCCAAGCTTTTCAGAGTCTTTATCGTACAGATGTAAATTGGCCCTTCCTGTACATTAAACAGCGTCAATTTATTAAATCCCCAAACATTCGGACACAGTATTTGCGAACGGTTTATTCAATTTTAATTTGATCAGCTTTGCAAACGCTCCAGTCCATAAAACTGGTGGTATACATTGAAAACATTCTCGATCAGCAGCCGTTAATGGGGCAATAATAAACGAAAGCTTCTTCGACTTGTCCCGGCCGGAGAAAAAGTTGGTATAAAATGGGACACGAACATGGACGGTCGCAAGCAATAAAAAACCTAGTAGTAAACGGGACATAAAGACGGGGACAAACGGTTGTTTTTTACCGGGTTTAGAGTGCACTTTTGGATTGCGATTTGAGAGGTTCTCCTCATCATGAAACAAATGTATTCTTTAAATGGGATTATATTATGCAAATTGGCTCGCTCATCGGATTACAGCTTAATGAATAGTCTAGCGACCGCAGCGGGTTCATCTGTGTAAGGATTCCTTTGAAAATCTGTTAGAACATATTTAATATTTCGTGTATTCACATTTTCTAAGGTGGCAGGCAGCAACAGTGAAACTCTGCTCGTTTGGTTAATTGTTTGGACTGATCAGGTACAACGTAAATTGCTTGAAAAACAATGCACTTTTGCCAGTTGCATAATCGCATGCTTTTCAATCAAATATCGGCTTTAATGTCCCCCGAAAACCTGTTTTTTTAGGTGAATTTACCCCAATGGGTGGCGCGCTATTTTCGTTAGACTGCTTACAGTCGCCTAATGGATTTTCAGGAATTTTAGTCTGTTCTTTTCAGTGTTAGTTCAACTAAAAACCCGATTAACAGACCGCTTGACATTGAGATATATACGTAGTATTAAAGCATCAAGAACTGTGCTAATTTTAACTTACTAAATTTAAATTTTTCGTTCATGTTTGCGAATCATCCTGAAGCCCGCAGGAAGTTTACTTGATATTATTTTCGAAGGTTCGCTGGGCTTTGTTTTCAGCTTCACTCGGTGATTCTAACATAGGAATTAAACGGAAATAGATAATGTTCTGTATCTGGTTTTCGTGTGCCAGTTTGGACTGGAGGATCTCTTTGTCTGCAGCAAATTTTGATTTTTTATTGTTATTCAATTCAATTACCAACCGCGCAATTTTTCATTCTTTGTACAATAGAAATGCAAAAAAAACGCCAAACAACGCTCTTAATGAAGCAAGTAATTGGATATTATCGTAATAACGCTATAATTGGGTGTTTTTTTCAAAGTATTCATAATTATTAGTTCATTTTAAGAGCAATTTCTGTCGAGCGGTGGATGGGACCAAGCATCAGTGTAAAGGCCATGAATAATTAGAAATGATATGTTTTATCGCATATTCGCAAGAATGTGATAATTGTGTTATATTGTTGATTTTTCAGCATACTTTGCTAATTTTTGCACCTTTGTTAATAGCGCAGTCGTATCAATCAGATAAGATTAGATTCCGTCAAAACGGGATTTTAAAAGAGTGAACATCTAAACTTAGTTCAAGATTTTGTGAATTGTATCGCCGGGTATGTATGTTTTTTGCCTTTTATCTGCTTTTGTTCTCGTTAGTACTTAAAGTCGATTATGTAAATTATACTTACCCCGGTGTTTTGAAATGTTTTTGGTCACTTCAGAAACATTGTTTCAATCTGTTGCATATTGTCGTCATTTTTAATCATTTTTGTTGACAAGCAAACAAACATTTCGGAACGGGAACATGAATTAAACCCCATTCTGGAAATACTGCACTAATCCTAGTCTAGACACTTTTACACCAAACCAAAGATGCACAATTAATGATGGAAAATGTTTATGTTTTGAAGCTAAAGTTCTTTGATTAACTTAGGATGGACTTTGTGTAAATAACTGTTCAGATAATATCGGTCACTGATTTTTTCCTCTTCGTTTCGATTCAGGTTACACGGTTCAATTGAGCAACAGATGCTGAGTGCACTGAGATTATTTTTGTATAATTTATACTCGATTAATGCGATTGGCATTGGAAAATCTTCCAGTCAAATGTTGAATATTTTATCAGGCCGATGTAGTCTGTTTGAAAGTAGGAAAGGTTGAATGGTTTTTTCGGTCTTTTATGGTCTTACACAGGTTATTAGCGTTCGCACGAACCAAACGAAAAGTTGTGCTAAAAACATCTTTGTAAGTCAATGAAAGTTCCAATAAACCATTCAACCTCTCAATTTGCGACTTTTTTGCCTGACGCATTCTAATTTGGTTTGCGCCTTTTTCCAAACCGGCCGAAGCATGGACCTTTTCAAAAAGTCGGTAAAATTGGTGGAAAGTGATGTAAAAATAAAACACTTTTCAAGTCAGGAACCATAAATCAATTTATAGGCTCTATTTAAAAATAGCGCTCATCGTTTTCGAAAATACGGAAGTTTTGAACAATATCCAGCTTAAAACTTATTTTTACGGCATGTGCTCTTTAAGTGGGAGCTTATTTTGTTTTTTTAAGGTTTAATGCCTTTGTTTCAACTTAAATATCAATGGCTATTGTACGCAGCCGAGTTCTCATACGAATTTCGGTCGTGGGATGTTCACATCAAACTTTTCATCGAGAAAATGGAAATGTCCGTTACAATTAATTTCAAATAATAATAAGAATAATACAAATGAGTCGCATACCATTAGGCGGTGCCTTTTTGTATCTCGTTGCGTAATGAAGGATGAGGCGTGATTTGCGTTTAGAAATGCGGGAAATGGAGCAACATCATTAGCATTGAATCTGCGCAAAGTTTGTTCAGTATTATACCAGTAGAAGATGTTGTGTTTGGAGCAGGAAATGTTTTTTTTGCTCAATTAATAAAAAAACATATGTTTGTTGCGTTCAGGTAGAGTCTCACTCTCAGTCGTCCATTCTTGCCCAATTGAATGGCGCCATAAAGAAAAGCTTTCTTTCCTAGATTCTTCTTACTTTCTATCGTTATCTCGGTCTTAGCTAATGGATCGATTAAATCAAGCCGGTACATTGTTAGAAGCCGGTTTTTTCGCAATTTTTCCTGCGTTATCGTTCATTACTTGTTCTCATTATGCTTTGTGAGCATTTTGCAGCATTCGCTAAAGTCTTGGAAAGGTTGAAAATTTTTACATGCAAATCTGGTTTTATATAATCCAAGGATACGACACTCGAGATAATTAATATTATTTTTAATTCAGTTTAAACGTGTTAGTGTTGGCTATTTTATTTAAAAAATGCTGGTTATTATTATTATTGTGTTTGTTTCAGAGCTGTGCAGCGGTGAATCGCTTCCTGAAGTCGAGATAATCAGTCTTTTGGAGGAACAGATTCCTCGCTACAAGCTTCGGGCTGATACTCTCACAAAATTTGGAGGTGAGTTAAAGTTACTCGAAAGAAAAACGCAGAAACGTCTCTAAATACCACCCAAGTCCTTTAAAAGAGCGTTTGAAAAAGGTATTTGTGTTTTTATTGCTCACATTAAGACGAAAAGTTTGCAACCGCAAAAAGGTTTTAAAGATTGCAACAGAATTGGCCATATCATTTCTTAATGTATTTTAATCCTTGACATAAATAGCAGATTGTTTAGGCTCTTTAAACCTTTTAAAGATAAGATTTGCCATAGATTTAATGCGGCGCAGTAACTTTGAAACCAAAACCGTAAAATGTGATCTATTGCATGTACGCAATAATTTTAGCAAATAAGTGCATATCTGAAGAGTTTACCGAAAAAAACAATACAAATTGATTGAGTTCGATAAACACAGTCATTAGCGTGTTTATTGGTGCTATTGTTTCTGAGGCCTACTACCTTCGAAGGAAAATTTCTCAAAATCTACGACGCCTTGAAGATAAGCGACATTTAAAACTAATCGAAGCTGATAAATACCTGTGAAGGTTTTGAGCTTGTTTAGTTTATTGCATATAGTGGTTAGGTGAAAAATGAATCAATGAAGTTGGTGGGAAAACGACGATGTTCGCGCTCGATGGAAAATTTGATTTTTACCTGGCAAAAAGGTACGACTTTAACTGATTTAAAAAAAAAGCTTTAAAAGACATACACGTTTTAGAACGGAAAGCTATTATTTGTACTTATTTGTAATTAGTTAATGCTCCAAAATGAAACTCCGGTTCGGAGCCCGATCTTACACTCACGGTCTTTAACCGACAATATCTTTCTTTTAATAGATCCAGACACAGGAAATCTGTGCATTGTGTACCAAAAAACGTGTAAAAAGTTTACTTTTGGTCGAAAAAATCGAGAGATTTTTCGAAAGCGAACTTTATTTCGAAGAAATTCTGAAAAATTGAAATAAGGAAAGCTAGATTTTGCAATTCAGCTTTCTGTTTATGGTAGTTACTCTTTCATGTTCTGTAGGCTTTGATTTTGATCGTAAAATATCAAACTTATAATTAATTGAAAAATGCTAAGATTTAAGATATTTTTTTGGTGAGTTCAAAGTTTTCCACTTTTTGCTCTCATCAAATGTAACCAATTTTTATTTCTATCTTGCGCTCATTTCCTTTATTTTTTTGGCAATTCCTCTACTTCCTCTTTTTAATTTATCACAAATAATAATCCAATTCCATAATTCAATTATGAGTTGGTTCGTGTCGTGGCCGATTACCTTGTAGAGCCAGAAACTGATTTTACGTACTTTGTGAACCATAAACTGCGTTTTCCTGTAACTCTACCAGGTTGGGAGCAAAACTAAACCAAAATCGAGATTAATAAAAAAAACTATTTATTAGAGCGAAAATTATTAACTACATTTTGGCTTGAAGCGCCACATTGGTGGATAACCAAAATCAATTTTCTCGACTGATGAAACCATTGAAAATGCATATTATCGGCGAGCTAAAGGAATGATTGAAACATTTTCAGCTTTACCTCGTAACCGCTAATTACGAAAATGTTTTAGCAATCCTGTGGTACAGTATCGGCAAATATTTTCAAGGTTCTGAGATCTTGCAATGACAGGTACCCAAAGCAGCTAATTCTAGTCTGTTCTTATCATTCTCTAGTTCACGGTGTCTATGTGATGTGTTCACATGACAAAGATCAACATGTTAATGTACTTTCGATGGTGGAATTGTCCGAAACGCGTACGTACCTCGGTCTAGTTTATAGTTCAACAGTAGAATTTTTCGCCGAAAACACAGTGATAATTTTTGCAAAATAATTGGTTTCATTATCTGTATTTTCCATAACTTCAACCATAAACATTTCAGAATGTATTTGTTCCGGTAATATGGATAACTTTAATTCCAGGCCATAAACCATTTGGCTCTCGTTTTATGTTGTAATAATTTATCAAGCCTTTAATCCCCTTGGGCACAACAACGAGGTAATTAGCTTGCAAACTTTACTTAATTCCACCTAAACAGAGTTCCTTTCGTTGATTGATGTCGGTCTGGATGGCTTAAGTGGATTTTGTTTAAAAACTGGATGATTTTGTAAGTTCTTTTTTGTTTCAGGATACGAAAACCAGGACTGGTTTATACCCTCGCCAGCTCTTCAGATCGACGAGGCTGATCTAAAATTGTCGCCGGATCAAATCCGAGAAACGCTTAATTATTTCCGTAAGTTCCGTATGCTAAAACCCACAGGTCGCAAAATAAAAATATGAACTTCTATACTACATAAGCCAGAGATTATGGTGAACGATAAACAATGTATTTATGGTGTTTGCAACATTTGCTAATTCTGTATTATTAAGGAATGCTGATGATCAGTTTCTATTAGCTCAGCCAAAAAAACCTAAATTTTCGCCCAATAAACATGATGCACTTACCAATAAACTGACACAGTATCAATATAATCAAAAAATATATATTTATTGCAGTTCTATGTAGTAACCGTGTGAGCCAAATGACAAAAACCTACGATGACATAGAAGCAGTCACAAGGCTTCTGGAAGAGGTAAATTAGAATGTTGAAGCGTTTGGCATTTGAAACATTCCGAATTTCTCTTCTATGCAGAAAGAAAAGGATTTAGAACTGACGGCCAGAATAGGAAAGGAACTGTTGCAACAGAACAATAAACTGGAAAACACAGTCGCTTCGTTGGAAACCGACTTGAAAGCCGCTTATGAGAAAATCACGCAACTGAGCCATGAAACGCACAAGAAGACTGAACTCATCCAGATCCTCACCAACGATATGGACGAGACCGACTTCGACACCACCTCGTCTGGAAAGATTAATTTGGAGCTCATGCAGAAGAGAATGGGTAAGATTTAAAAAATACTATTTATTTTGAAAGAGCATTTTTTTGGAAATTGTGTAAAATTTATATATAAAAATTTCAGTTTTTTTAACAGCATTTGAAGTCATGCATTCAGTGCTAAATTTAATAAGTCCGTGTATAACTTAATATTCCATAGGATTGCTTTTCAACAAAATTCATCAGCTCATTGTTGAATTATTAGCGCAAAATCAATAAATCTTGTAAATAATAAAGTACTGATTTGTTGTGAACTTTGAAGCCCCGCCAATCTATATTTATCTGAATTTCTCGCTGTTTTGTACTTCTTTTACACGTTTGGAAATAAACCGAAAGCAAAGATCCAGGAGTATTATCGCTATTGGGCGTCCCGCTAATTATCGCATTTTGTGGGAGATAATCGGGCTGCCAAGTCGTGCGTGTTACGTAAGTGAACAGTCGCGTGCGTGGACTTTAATTAGCCATAAAAAACGTAAATATGCAGTAAAACATTAGCTGGTTAAATGTTTTTTTTTGAGTTTACGAGTTTTGCACTAGAGTTGAGTGTTGTTTCTTTACAGCGTCCCTACAAGATGAAAATAGGTCGCTGAAATCGGAATACTGTCGCCTTGCTTCGTGTGCCGACGACATCGAAGCCCAAGAACAAAGACTTTTGAAGGACTTAACTGGACAATTGAGTGAGTCCCACTTGCTTTAGCATAGCATATACACTATTAACTATCGAAAGTTCATTGATTAGTGCAATTAAAAATACGTCAACGTTCCACCTTCTTTTCTTAATTCAGCTAATTGGAAATTAGCGCGCTTCATCTTCAGATTTCTCCAGTTTAGCCGCTAATTGCGCAATTGTATTTTAATAACTTTTGTTTCTGTCAGCTTGTGCCAATTCAAGTATGACTTATCTGGAGGATGAAGTGGATCGAGTGAAAGAGGAAAACCGCAATCAGCACGAGCAAATATTGGCGTTACAGTCGCAGCTACAAGACACCGAAGATAAGCTTAGAAAAGTGCGTCTGCTGTGTTCCATTCCTATTGTGCTCCAATGCTAATCACATGTTTGTTGGCAGTTGTTATCAGAAAATGACGAACTGAGCGGCCTGTTGCAAATTACTAAGGAGAATCAGGGCAGCATAGCAGTGGAACTTTCCGAATTCAAGGCCCGCTACTATGAGGTGGAGGCTCTATTGCGCGATGCTCAGGACCAGATCAGGAAGCTGCGAAGAAAACAGCTACCCGGCGCTCGACTGAACTTGTTCTCCTCACTAGGAGCGGCAGGTACTGCACCTTACGATAGTCTCCAAAATGAGCTGGAAATGTCGATGCATTCGGAACTCAGTCTGGACTCAGGAATTTCAAATAGCAGTGATACAGTGATGTAAGTTTACACTGGTAAAACCACGAGGCTTGAAGTGACGAAATTCTATTTTACTTTTGCAGGCCGCAATACAAGAAAGTCTTCGAAACGGTTCGATGCGCCTCTCAAAGTTCACTTGGCAGCGCTGAGAGCTTGGGCAGCCTACACTCCTCAATGGGAGGCTACGTCAGCAGCTCCAGCATGCCGGGAGGTGCAGGTCCTCGCATGAGTATCATGTCGCAAAGCAGTGGCGGAAGCGGCTATGGACGACATAGAAGGCCCTCTTCCTCGATCTACAGCAGCAGCTCTTTGGGCTATCCCAGTATCGATTCTACTGGACAATCAGATAGCGAGTCTTCCATGCAAACGACTGACTCCGAAGAAGGATATCCGTAAGTAACAAATTACATTTACGGGCTTTCTTGCAGTAAAAATCGCTTGTTGAAGTGATAATTTCTTATGGCCCGGTGTCAGTCTATCAGAATGCGTTATGGCGCCGTTATGTCTGGTACACAAGCACCCGTAAACCATTTGCCCGGTCGTGTTAATATAATAGTGTGTAGTCTGCGGGCCGTTCGTGCCATTACAGCTATCATAAACTAATTAATATCAATTTTACATTCGAAAAGCAAATTAAATTTTGTTTAAACTATTCCCGGCCCTTTTTATAAATTGTTAGACTAACAAAAATATTGAAATTATAAATTAGTATTGCCATCATGCGGTAAACAACCTTTTTTTTGTTGAAGAAGCTGCAAATTTTCTTTAATTGCCATTGAGCTCTACTTACCAATGCCGTTAAAATCTCTTTCGCTAACATTGATCCTCATTGTATCTTTCAGCGGTTTACCCCGGAAAGGAATTCCCGGAGTACCGGGAGCTACTGAACTGGAAGCAGCGCTCCAAAGGTTGACGCCGGGCGCCGTGTTGGCTCGAAGAGCCAACCTCCAAATGGGCTCCGCATATGGAGGATATGAAGGAGGAGACTCCTTTTTGCCCTTCGGATGCCGCACTCCCGACAGTCTGATGTCTACCGGTTCTGGCAACTACTACGGCGGCGGATGGAAGCTGCCTGAAAAACTACAAATTGTTAAGCCTATGGAGGGATCGCAGACGCTACACCATTGGTCGCAGCTGGCGCAGCCTACATTTGGAGGTTTGTTGGATGAGAGGCCTGGCGTGAAAATAAGGTAGGATTTTTCAACATGAATAACCCGCAGGAATTTTAACTGAAGGTAACTACTGTTTGTTGCAGAGGCGGCAAGGAGCTGGAGGATATAGGCCTGGAAACTTATGGCTTAAGCGACTTGGAAGAAGATGAAGAGTACAGCAATCCAGGCAAACTCTTTGATGGGTCGGTTCACACTTACACCTACACAACTAGCACAGTGCTGCATCCGGATGATGGCACTTTTGTAACGCCCAGCAATATGGGCAGTCGAATCGCCTCCGTTTGCAGCAGTATACAGAACTCGCCTCCTCAAACCCCGATGGCTTTGAGCAGACGGAATTCTTGCAGCACCTTCTCGACTACTGTGGGATTGGCCAAGATGCTTAATGAACGAGGTAAGCAATTTCCTTTTCAGATCTGGCAATTAAAACTTATATGTGGGTTCTAATATTTCAGGCATCAAGGCTGTAACTCCGTCAGCCCTAAATACTCCTAGTGGAACCAACAGCTTCACTCCGACTGCGACTCCTCACAACAGTCCAGATGGAAGCCCTCTGAGCACCAGGTCGAACTCTCCTGAGCCCTATGAGGCATTCAGTTTGCCTCAGCTTCTCCTCAGCTCGGTACCGCAGTTCCTCAGAGACACTGTAGGCGCTGGCGCCTACAAAAAAACTACCTTCAGCAAGTCGAAGCGGAGGCCCAACCGACCGGAGAAACAAGAGGTAATGGATAACTTTCCTCTCTTAAAGATTGCCATATTTGAGTCTGTGTTTGAAGTGTGATTTCTACGTTTTACTAGACTGATCTGACTTAGTTTTTATGTGCCTGTTTTAAGTGGAGATTCTCTGAGGTCACGGTGTTTTTTTATCAATCCTGTAATTCGGTGCTTATCGCAATAAATACTTGTTTCATTTGAAGCGCCGTGTTTCATTTTCCAAATCAGCACAATATTTAAATATTCATTAAGCTGTTTGTATGAAAGGTCAACAACGCGGGTGAATAAACGAATGAACCTCGCACTTCAATAACCAGATGGCTTTTGTAGTTGAACAGGCGTACCAATTTATTTTTGCTGAAATCGGTTTTTTGTGTTAAAATGGATTTTTTGTCTTTTTCAGAGTATAGTGGGGAAAATCGAAAAAATCGGAATCAGCAATCTAATGGCAGGCCCCGGAACTCTCGGCTTACCTGGCGGATTGTATTCGCGCTCCTCACTAACTAGTCCAATGGCGCAATTAACCTGCCTATTTCCTAGTCACAGCAGAGAAGACCTAAGAACCGTGAGCGAAAAGGCTGAACCTAGTATTGACCAATTAACTGCACCAGGTAAGTTTCCAGTCTCGTTCAACTTTAATTACGATGCCGGTTCGATTAGTAAACTAGTCACTGTCTTTTCCTTAATTAAAAATTGAATCAAAACGAATGACATCTGACTGAGTCAATCTCGTGACAACGCACATCACTCAAAACAATCCCAGTTCGAAAATGTGGCCCATTTTCCTCTACATGACCAAGGATGAATGTCTTCGAGGTCTGAGGCAGCTGGAACTGGACGCTTATTCGTTGTTGGTTTCGGCCTTGCGAGCTGAAGGCCCACTCACTGCCGATAAGCGAAATCTTCTGCGAGATGCGTGCAAAGTGCTGAATATCAATACGGATCGACACAAATGCGAAGTGAGAAGAGCCGTGAACGATGAAAAGCTCAACACTATTGCCTATCAGGTAAATGGGCTTGATGTTTCCAATGAGGATTGGTGCCAGGAAGGGCGGCGAGTGATGCCAATGTTGCAGCGAATTTCGCCTCATACTTTGCACCCGATGCTTACTGAAGACGCGCGCAAATATCTAGACGACCAACCAGGATCAGAAGATTCTGGAAATAACCTGGATATGTTGGAGAAACCCCCGATTAATTCCTCCAGGGTTTTAAGAAGTTGCGACGCTTTAGAACCCGATAAGCCCTACTCGGCCAAAAGGGTTCCCAACCAAAACCACAAGTTAATGGTGGTTTCCAACGTGGACGCCACTCCAACCAGCGGCATATTGCATAAAACCTTATCAGTGCCCATTAGCAAAATCACCAGGTTAAACTTGGACAAATTCAAGATTGTCCCAAGCTCGTTCCCTTCGGCCTTGCAAGTTTCCACCGTTTCCAACGATGGCAAGAATTTCATAAGCAGGACAGCAAAACGAATCATTCCGCTCTCCCAACTGCAGATGCTGAACCACAAGTTCAGCTCCAAGGGCGGCATCAAAGTGCTGCCAATAAGCGGCAAAATTCTGGGCAAAAACATCACAATGGCCCGGATCACAAACCGAAAGGTTCCGGCGCTTTCCAAAATCAAAGTTGAGAACATCGAGTTTTTACATGAGATTGATGCTGAAATGGAGCAACCAAGCAATGAACCGAAAGAAGCTGCGATGGAGGATGTTAATGAATCTACAAGCAATGAGGAGATCGTGGTAGATGAGGTGGATGTCGTTCAGTGTGATGAAATTAGTGATAGTAAAAAACTGAAAAGTGAGCTGGCAGAGCCGGATTTAGAGCAGAAGCTAGTGGTTAAGGAATAAATTGAATTGCTTTAGGGAGATGGTTGTAGTCGCAATGGAATAAAATATTTTATTTCAATTAACACAAGACCAGCGGTTTGAATTACGTTTTCTGTAGGTTTTACTTGAATTCATGAAAACCACGTATAAGTGAACTAAAATAGTAGAAAAACGAGATCACTTGGAAGATCACAAGTAATATATTATTTATTAGCATCAATGGCTCATAACAAATAATTCCCAACAAGCAATACAAAATCATTAGTCTAAGCTGTTACAGTTTTTAGTATAAAATTCAACCAAGCCCTTATGTAAAACAATAGTCAAGGAACGAGAAAAAACTAATATAAAAATGCATATTTTATGAAAGAAATCATCATCCTGGTTTTGGTTTTCCGCTGTGTAAACCTTTGTTCACATTTGTATGACCTAAGTGATTCGTCAAATACAAGCTTTTTTAGTCATACGACTTAGAACCAACAGGTCCTTTCTATTCAGAACAGATTCGAAACCGGTGAAATCTAGGGAAACTTGCGAGTGGCATGACCAAAAAAAATTCTGTACTGACAACCGGTGAAGTTTCGCTTTCAAAATATAAAATGTTGCTGTTTGTTGCAGTTACAAAACCAAAGTCTCAGCTAGGAATACCTGGTAAACCCGGCACGGGCGTGCTGAATCGTCGGTTGGAACAACTGAATGCTCGCAAGCAGCGAAGACAAGCAGGTTCGGGTCAAACTAGGCCCGATTTGGGAACAGTTTCAACTCGAAAAAGTCCCGAACCTGAACAGCCCCAATCGCACACCTCTACATTAGGCACCCTTAGTAGTCTGTTGTTTGGTCGGAAAGGAGGGTTGTTCTAATATGGTGATCAATAGTGAAATGTTGGCAATCGAGACACATACCATTGATGCAGCTGTTTAAAGGAAAATATATACGTTTAGTATTTAGGGAGAATGTGATGCCATAATGTGTTTTCTTGAATTGCCGATTTTTCGAGTTTTGTGATATTAGGCGAATGGCGCTAGCTTTGATTGAAAATTTGCAAAGAGTCGCTATCTCCTTAGCTATGCTCCCTCTTTTATTCATCAAGGAAATAAAAGGCGCGTGACGCATCTCAATTGCCACATAAAACTTATCAATAGTGGGTCATTATTTAAAAAATCAACACTTGTTAAAAGTGAAAGTCTGCCCTAATTGCAAACAGAATGCGGAGTTAGCGCCTGGAATTCTTCCAATTATAAAATAGCTAAAGCTCAAACTATTTAATAGTTTCCTATTTTATTTTGCACTAATTCTGTTTTTATGTTGCGTAACTGAAATGAAAATCCATAGTTTATAAGTCCTCAAAAATAGTTTTAAAAAAATTGTATTCTACTAGCCGTTTATTTTGTTCATTGTCCCATTTGTGTTATTTTACCAAAAGTTTTGCGTAATTTCCGGGTGATTGTGTCGATCTGATGAAACAGTTTAGCAGTGTTTTATTTGATATGAATAAAGCACAAAATGTCTAATGTTTGGTGCTCTTAGAGTAAGTAGGTTGTATATAGGTTGTGTAAATACATAGTTGAGAAGAAACGAATATTTGAATCATTCTGTGCAACGACAGTTACATATAGAATCATTCAAATATAGTTTACATGCTATTAGAGTTGCTTAGCTGAATTTTGACTTGCGACATTTATAGTTAGTCTTACTATAGAGAACTTTGTATATTAGAAATTTACTTAATGTGAACTTGCATTAGTCAAATATCGATTTAGTATGTATTCTAAGTATTTTAATATTTAAAAGTTTCGTTGCCTGTTGAATATACCGTTGAAAATTCATTCAGTTTGCCTTTTTTATGCCCTCACAGTTAAAAATCGTAAAAAAGCTCACCTTCTGCGGGGTGGATGACACAGCAAAATCTGAAACAAAAAAATGATTTATTTTAATCAATTAATGTCAAAACTAAGAAAAAAACCAACTGATTCCATGTTCGTTAATTCTCAACTTTTCATCAATACATTTGCATCGAAAGCCAAAGATCGCTTCAAGTGAATTAATTTAAAAATGAGACATCACACAAACCCGAACAATAAACTGGCCATTATTATTGTGACAAGGCATGTAAAAATATGCAAACAAAAACATCGCTTGGATAATTTACAGCGGAACGCAAAAAGCGTCTTCGTGTAGGTAGGAACTCCTGCGGATGCATCAGGATGACTTATGCGCCGAACGCTCTCATCATGGGCGAGTTGGACTGAAACAAAAGGAACACAACGACCAGAGAACCACTTGTGTTTGGTTAGTCGGATTCGGAATAATGGGCTCAAAAAAGAGCGCAGAGCAAATATTTTTTGGGCGAGGACTGTTTGGTCAAACGACTCGTTTTATTGCATTTCGAGCTTCGCGGAATTAGCGTCTAATGCTGATTGCTTAAATTGTTCAGGTTTTTTTCTTTCCAGTCAAAGCAACCAGCTACTGTTAATGTCTGAGATGTTCAACCTGTGTGGTTTCAACTATTCAAATAATATTAAGGATAGAGAAAAGTCGTGTCGTGTTCTTGTATACACATTTTTTGTGCTTTTCTCTTTTTATGCATTTTTCAATTGGGATTAAGCAATTTGATTGGGTCCGCACACGTTTCGGAGATAGTTTTAATAATTATGGCGACCTTAATATTATTTCCATGTATTTTTTTATTATACTAGTCATTTTTTCAAGTTTGTTTCTCTCTTTCAAAATAACCCAGATTTGTTCTCTAATCACTGTGTCCAACGATTTCTTTAGGGCTTTAGGAGTTAGTTTGCTTCCCTTTCTTTCTGGTTTTACAAAAAATGCCTTCGATTGTTCCTTGATACTTTGCCTAATATGTTTTCTTCAATTTTCCTCTATAGTTATTACCGTGCCACGGTTGTGTTTGTTTCAAAATACAATATTACTATAGTACTAGTATTAAATCAAGAAAATTTGTTATTTTCTTTTTTAAATGTTTTTTATTAACCTCCTCCCACTTTGTCTTTAAAGCGTTTGCTTGCCTACATTTTCTTAGTATGCTATACAACCGCTCTTGCATGTTTTTGTTTCGTTTCTCCATTTTCTCTCAAAACCTTTCCTTTCACTTTCATTTGCTTTATACGTTTGTGGCCTTTTCTATGGCATAGCGTTTTTTCACACTATTTGAGTGCAATCAAATAAAGAAGTGTATTGAAAAAAGGAGATACCAAACAGAAATCCACAACATTTTAAAGTAAATCAAAATGCAAGGAAAAAATGTTGAAGCAATTGTAACAGAAGTTGGACAGAGTTTCGGGTGATAAATACTACAGAACGTATTCTAAAATATGCCTTAACGACAATAAACGAGATCATATTTTATAAAAACTACACCAGCGCCAATTTTTGTTTCAAACGATTCTTAATGCAGAAATCAAAAGATTCAAAGTCTTTTAGGGCAAAGAAATGAATTTGAATCACCTTTGAATATCAATGAAATGTGCACTTTGGCTGGTCTTTCTTCTGATCTCAATAAAATCAGGATAGATAAATATTTTTTTAAATATCCATCCATAGTAAGCGCTTGATGGCCGCAGGATGTTTATCTACGTTTTATAGCCGAATGCACCAATTTTCTTTCAACTTATACACAACACATTATTGACGAATGGATAAATAATCGGATCCTTAAACTGTTAAGAACCTTTCTGTATCTTTCAACCAGCTGTAGGGTGCAAAGGCCTAAATCAATCGCCCTCAATTAAGATGAAACTACCCCAATGATATGTAGGGGTTGTTTTTGCGTAAATTCCTAACCGTTCTCGCGTGATTTCATCATCATTTCAAGCAGATTTTTTGCGAAGAATTCACCTACGCCAGTATTTCTTCTGGTTGACCAATAGGGGAAGACAAAATCGGTTTTAGATTTATCGGATTTGTTGATTTTTTCCTTGATCAGTTTTCACACTTTTTATATATTTTTAGCTTGTTAAATCTTCTCATATTTAGACTGTATTTATATATTTGGGGATTTTGTCAGCATTTTCAATTTTTTTCTTAAGTCTTCTTGCAGTGTTGTTACTTCGTAGTTTGTATGATTTTATCGGATTTTTAATGTGGCCTCCCTAGTTTCTACCTGATCGATCCTACCGGGAAGTATTGGATTTATGTTTAGAATATCAACTAGCTTAGAAAGTCGCAAGAAAAAAACGACTCCGATCCACAACAGTTGGAAATTGACGTGAAATGATGTAAAGTTGCACTTAAAACCGAACAGATTGTATTCTGCAGACCACATAACCAGCAACGGTCCATCCATCTAACGAGCAAGAAAAACAAGCTTTTACCAGCTCAAATAAAAACTACTTCGGTTCCATAATATTTGTAAATCGCACTTGTTGGAGAGGTGCATTCTGATTCCGAAGCCATTAACTGTTGTGTTTGCCCACAAATTAGGACTGATTCAAAGTGGTTACCAGCCCGATCTTAATGGACCCCATTGTGACTTAGTGTTTAAATATTTAGGCATTAGAGAGAAGGTGATTTTCACAGTCGGATGCAAGCTATCAGATCGACGGAAATGTATCTCAATTAAACATTCCGAATCAGCCGATTCGAAACATCAATTTAATGGAAAAAGAATGTTGTCCAGTTGTTTTGCATATTTCTGCCGATAAATTTCGGTACCTGCTGCTGGCTGGTAATCGGTGCAGGGGTTCCTCTTCATATCGGACAGGCTCCTAAATTACATTTGATAACTGGAATTATGAAATGTTCGGTTTGTCTTCGCCAATAAATTCGCATCGTTACAGCAGACGGCGATTTTGTCATTATTATCTACAGGGTGGTTCAACACTGACGCATTCCAGTGGGGGGCTGATAGATTTACCATTAAGTTTGCAACTACTGTTTAAGTGAGTCCAGTTTGCCCACAATTTTAGCCATTCTGCTTAAGCAGTTCGCATTAAGTCCTTGAGCTTAAGACCCGAGAGGATTGAAAGTTTCATTTTTCGCACCCAACCTGCAGTAAATCCCCTTTCCATGTGTAATACCACAATTTCACACGAATTCCTCTAGTTAAAGAGAAACATTACAATACAATAAGACTTAAGGTGTTCCAAAGATAAGTGCGGAATTAGACCCGTTGAACTTTTCTCCGGCAGAGATTAAGTCACTTTCTACTCATAAATCCAATAGTTTTGATATCATAATGCTAATGCCAAGTAATACCTGTGGGAACCTTTAAGAAGGCCTGCCTGCTGCTTGATGGTCATCGGTAAACAATTAATTATCCAGATGTGCAACTCTGCCTCGTCCGAACTTTCCGACCAGTGTTTAATCGAGAAAATCCATTAGGGACGGTCTCAAACTGCACTATCCTGAAACAAAAATGCGTTCTGAAGCTTCAACAGTATTCAAAATTGCGTTATTTTTTACATAAAAACACTTTTCAAAGGCACTCTTTTGATTAGTTTCCCCGAACAAATTAAGCCAACATTAATTAACATTTGCTGTTGATGTTGCGACCAGCAAAAAAACCATCACCTATCAAACATTGATTAACTCCACGTCTTTGAGTGATCAAGCTGAAATCAAAGTCTGCCCTTCTTGGGGACGATTGATTGTTTACTTTAAAAATCGCCCGACAATCAAATCAATTAAGGCCTAAAAGCATTATAAAAGATGAAGGTACCGGGGGCCCAGTGTGTTTTAGCTTTATCGCATGACTCGATAAAAAAGAGATATATTGATGAGTTTGTGTTCCCTCGTAGCCCATGGTAATTATAAACATCTCTCGGCCTCGGTGGGGAACCAGCAACAGTCGACGGCTAAGAAGGAATGGTACCAGTGGCGTCGAACAATGGGTTCTCGTATCAGATATTCTGCCAATTTCAATCGCTGGGGTTAGTTTAATTTCGATTTAAACAAACCACTGTTGCGCTACTACTAATACTTTCTGGACTTTCTTTTATGACTTGAAAAAACAATATATAATAATGATACAAAAAGTAAGGAATTATGGGGATGCAATCATGAGCCAAGCTCCTCCTTGGATGTGCTTTTAGTAGCAACACTCCGAGCTGGAAGAACTTCGAACCACGAAAAAATCTCTATGAATGAATCTATTAGATAAATAACTGAAAATGAGAGATAAAAACGAAACTCCGACAATGAAAGCCTGTGTTATGCACACGAACTTATGCGATGGCTCTTGGCGAGTGGCGCTCTGGGTTTTCTAGACTTTGGAGTGCCGCTGTCTATTTGCTGATAATCAATGGGTTTGGCACTGGACATAGATAAAGAGCACCATACACCATAGTAAGTTACTATTCACAGGGTGATTCAAAATTAGCCAAACTTGTCCAAGAAGAACGGTAATTATGCATAGCATCAATCAACCAACTGCATTGATCAGAAGGCTCTGAAAAATCCAAAAGTGCTCAGAATTGAACGAAATTCGGCTAGTACGAAACTCAACGAGGTTTCTTAAATAATTTAAAGTTTGAGAGGTTTACATGTGAGTGTGTCGATGTTTACGGTGCCTATTTTGCAAGCTCATACTCAAACGACTATGAAAACTCAGAAAGTGCTCGAATTTCAGCGAAATTTTGTCGCTTTAGAACTTGACGCACTTGATTAGCGTGCTGAAAATTTCAAATGTCTACTACTTTTGGTGTTTACAGTGCGCAGTTTACAAGTACCTAATCAGAAGGTTCTGAAAAATCAGAAAATAA